TCTCTGTCTCTGTCTCAGTCTCTGTCTGTCTCTGTCTCTCTGCCTCTGTCTCTCTCTCCCTCTCTCCGCCCCCCCCCACCCAGGCTCAAAGCCCCTTCTGCCATGGGGACAGTGGTACCCGAAGGCTCTCTGGGGCCTGGTTGGACTTGGGGGGCCCCTCTTCCCTGACACACCTTTTCCAACTGGTCCTCCAGGGTCGTGGTGTTGGGGAGGAGCTGGTTGTGAAGCCGTGGCTCTTCCACAGCCCTCTTCACGTCATAGCCAAACCAGAGGTGGCTGATGATTGCCTGGGGAAGGAGGGACAAGGGCCGGTCAAGCAGAGGCCTCAGGCCCAGTGTGCCCGCTGAGTGACACCCGCACGGGGCCCGCAGCACATCGCTGGCTAGCTCATCGGCTTCCCTAATTGGACACCGCCCAGTCTGACGGCGGGCCAGCGGTGTGCGTGCAGGGCCCCAGGGCTGGTGAGCGGCCTTCCACCCCCCAGCCCCACGGGCTATGCTGGCACCTCTTAGATGAAGACTCTCTGGGGCTGTGGAGAGGCCCAGTTTCCATCACTGCACCTCATCTTAGGAGGGGCCCTGAGGGCTGCTCCCTGGAAGTGAGCTCAGTCCGACCCCAGGGGCAGTGCCAGGAGCAATGATCAGGCTTCCTAGCCATTTGCCCTGTCCAGAAGTGGGAGGGCATGAGCTCCATCTGAGGTCTTCAAACAAACATGGACGCCCACTCTGGGGCATGGGCTTCCTCATTGCCTTCCCTCTTGAGAATTGGAGGCAGAGCCCGGGTCCGAGTAGGGCGGAGGCCCGCAGAAGCCCCACTGTGCTGCTCAGACAAACCACTGACTGTGCCCCGCGTCTATTACAGGCCTCCGCACAGAAGTAAGCCCTGTTCTCATCTCTGTAGATCTCTTGGAGACTGCTTCTGCCCTCCAGCACGGTTGGGTCATCCCCAAATATGCCAAGCCTGCCCTCCGGGGTTCTCTCCAAGGTACTGATCCCGGGGCCCTGACCCTGAACCATCTGGCTGAGGCACTCTGGGCCCATCCAATGGGATGCCCACCCCCCCCTTCTCCGCCTCCTCCTGAAGATCAGCACGAGGGGTTTGCCAAATGCTTGGCTGGAATCTGCACTTCATTTTCCCATCCCCCGCCTCGCAGCCCTGGCACAAGAGGAAGAAAAGGGCATGGGAAGGGCCTGAATGAGAAGCACAGGGTGGGTACGGGCAGGAGGTGTGGGGAGGGCACACGGAGCTTCCTGTGCCCGAGCTCCATTGACTCCCTTGGGCACCAGGCCCTGCTGACCCTCCCTCGCATACCCTTCAGTATCTGTCCCCACATTCTGTCTCATGCACAGATCTGGCCTGTTCCTCCTCTGCTCAAAACCTTTCGATGGTACCCTATTGCTGAGAGAACTTGGCATTTGAGGCCCCATCTCACATACCCACAGCCTCCCCAGGGCCCCTGGGCCACCCCTGGGCTGTGGTAGTCAGGAACAGGGGCCTCCTTCCTGCTTTTGTGGGGGCAAGTAGGGTAGGGAGCAGGAGGGACAAAGGGCCACAAGCCCACACGGTGAGTCCACATCCAAGAATCCATGTGGGGTCGTGAATGTGGGGCCGGAAAGGGCCCTGGAGAGGCTTCGAGGGATCCAGGAACCAGCCACACGCACCCGCCCCACCCACCTCACCCGCTGCCAGGGAACCTACCAAGGCTGTGGCCGTGGTGATCTGGGTGCCCCCGGATGCGCCAACCACCATCCTGACCTTCTTGTCCTTGTCGACCACAATCGTGGGGCACATGGAAGAAAGAGGCTGTTTGCCTGTAGGTCACAGAGATGCTGTACGTCACAGACGTGGTCTCATGTGAATGCTGCACACATCATGGAACTGACCACACATACATACATGTATGCCTGTCCTGTATACATACATGCACACCCCATCATGTGCACACACATGCACACACACCTGCCCCTGCACCCCAGACACGCCATTAGACATACGCATTCACACACACACATACACACACATCCCTCCTCACACTCACCTGCCCCTATACCCCAGACACACCCTCAGACACACAGAGACACACCCTCACATACACACACACACACATACCCTCAGACACACACACAAACACACATACGCTCAGACACACACACACATACCCTCAGACACACACACACACACACATACCCTCAGACACACACACACACACACACACACACACACACACATATACCCTCGCCCTAGTCAGACACACAGACTCAGGACAAATCACTTCCTCTCTTCTCCCCTCCACCTCTTCCACCCAGGTCCCTCCCAGCCCCATGAGGCTGTTCTTGCCGCTCCCCTCCCTGCCCCACCCAGGGGCACCTGGTGCGATGAAGTTGGCTGGGGACGGGGGGAGCCCATACTGGTTGATGATGTTGGGGGAGCTGAAATCGTCCATCTCATCATTGAATACAATGCCACTGCTCTGGGACAGAATCTTGGAGCCAAAGCTTCGAAGGCAGCAGAGGAACAGAGAGGCCACTGGGGAGGTGACCTGGCCCTGCTCACCCTGCCCACCCTGCCCAGTCCCCACCCAGACCCGCCCAGACCCATTCCAAGCTGGGTCAGCCCAGGCCCCCACTGATGACTTTGAGGCCCCATCCCATCCTAGGGCAGGCCTCTCCTCCCCACTCCACCACAGATGTCCCCAGGGCCTACTAGAGATTGATGGTGCTGGTAGCAGACACAGCAGAGCCATCCTCGGCCACCACAGACAGGTGAGCAGTGCCCCCGTCACTGGGTGTGAAGTACTCCGGCTCATAGTACTCAGCCTCGTGCGTCTGATTGTCCGTGATCCGAGCCCGGAGCTCGTCGGCAAAGTACTCTGAGGTCATGTTCTGGATCACCTGCGGGAAGAATCTGAGGTGAGGAGCAGGAAGGCCAGGGAGCTGCTGCTGTCTATCAGCCAGAGGCCAGGGAGCCGCAGGCCAGAGGTCAGAGGCCAGAGGCCAGAAGCCAGGGAGCTGCCATCCAGAGGCCAGAGGCCAGGGAGTCGCTGCTGTCTGTCAGTCAGAGGCCAGGGAGCCGCAGGCCAGAGGCCAGAGGCCAGGGAGCTGCCATCCAGAGGCCAGAGGCCAGAGGCCAGGGAGCCACTGCTGTCTGTCAGTCAGAGGCCAGGGAGCCGCCATCCAGAGGCCAGAGGCCAGAGGCCAGGGAGCTGCAGTCCATCAGGCAGCCCCTCATCAATGACACCTGCCACAGGCTAGCCCATAACTCAGCCCGAATAAGGAGAAGAAGGCAGGACAGCTCAGTGGTCAGCAGGGAGAAGAGAGCAAAGCGGGAGGGGTGAGCTGGCTGATGGACGAAAAGTTTGCTGGAGCCAGCTGTCAGCTGGGTGACCCTGAGGAAGTCACTGCCCTCTCAGAGGTTCAGGGATCTCTTGATAATATCCCACCAGCTCCGAGGCTGGGGGAGCAAAGTACTTTGCATGTAGGGGCAGCTTCAGCCTTCCCAGAGGCAGGGGCCTTCATGGCCAGGATGACTCCACTGCACTCAGATGCCCCGTTCTGCCTGGAGCCAGCTCTAGAACCAATGCTCTCCCAAGCCCCGTGTGATGGGGCCGCGGAAGACCCCGGTACCCCTGAGGCAGGCTCCCCTCCTGTCTGGCCTCCTGTCTGGTCCTCTGCTGCCTGACCTTCCATCTGGCTGTGCCCTGCCAGGTACCTTCCCTCCCTGAGAACCTCTCTGGGCTCCCTTCATCTCCAAGGTCAGGGGCAGACCTCTTGGGCTGGCACCCAAGACCTCCCCAAATCCCCTCCGCTTGCCATTGGCCCTTTCACCATCTCGTTCACACAGTCCAGCCAAACTGGCCTGGGAGTCACTCCCTGAACTTGACTCTACATCTCCCACTCCACGCCTTTGCCCAGGCCTGCCCTGCCTGGGGTGCACTCCTTCAATAGTAGTGACATCACCTCCAGAGCACTGTCTACAAAGCACATCACGTCCTTCCTCTCACATGAGCCAGGTGACAACTCAGGGCCTTACAGAGGAGGAAACTGAGGCTCAGCGGGGGCAGTGACTGACCCAAGATCACCCTGCTGGCTTCAGGATCAGGATTCAAATCCTGGGCTCTCCAGCCCCACAGCCCAGCCCCCACCCTCTGCCTTGGGCCCCCCTGGCACTCTCTGGGGTCAGCTCCGACGCACCGTCTCTACCATCACCCGCCCAGCTGAATGTCAGCTCTCCGGGGCAGGAGCTCTCACTTTTGTTTTGGTTTCCAATGCCCAGAGCCCCACTCGGCATCCAGAGGGGACTGACTGGTGTGGTCCTGGCTTCCTTCCTCCCCCTAACCCAACTGGGCAGGGCCCTGGGCTCCTCCCACGGGTGGGGCCCAAGCATCTTACCCCAGACACATTCACAAACTTGGGGTCCCCCAGGAGTGTCCTCTTGGCATAGGCGAAGCGGAAAGCTTCCACAATGCGATGGTAGGTCAGGCCCTTCTGCTCTGGTGTGCCCACACTTGCCTCTGAGAAGTGGTACCCTGTCCCAGGGAGAGTTGGGACAGTCAGCTCAGGATAGGATGGCTATCCCCCATCACCCCTGAGGGGCCTGAGCAAGAGGAGGGGTCAGCCCAGGGAGAGGGGGGCCCTGACTGAGCCTCTGCCCATCCAGGAGCCAGAGGAGAGGACAGGAGAAGCTGCTGGGTGGAGGGCCAGGGCAGGAGAGTGGTTGGCGTGGCCTTGGTCGGCAGCCCTGTTAGTAGAAGGGCCAGGCAGGTCTGGGGTCCTCACCGGCAGCTAGACTTCCCCTCTCCCACCCCCATGTGTGCGGAAGCCCTTCGCCTGGCCCCCTCGGTGGGACCAGGTGGGGATGGTGCCAGGCAGCAGGGGCTGCTCACCCTTGAGGATGTTGAGGATGAGGCTGAGCACAGGGCCACTCAGGGGTGCACTCGGTGTGTAGACAATGTAGTCACCCAGGCTGAAGTTCAGGGGGTTCTCGATCAGCTCGGCCCGGTAGCTGTTCAGGTCCTCCAGACTCAGGATCCCACCTGGGCAGGGAACAGAGAGGCCACATCTCCACTGACGCCTATAGCTGTGAATCACCTTGGGGTTCCAGCAGCATTAGCCTGGGAGAAGTGAACGCTTGTGAGGGGTGGGGTCATCCTCCAAGGATGGGGGTAGGGTCCCTTTCCTTCTTCTTAGCAAGCAGAGCTGTTCCAAAGAAGAATGGGCTGGATTGGAAGGTAGTGAGCTCCCCATCCAGTAGAGGCTGCAGGTTTGCCCATGTGGGGTCCCAGGAGATCTTGGCATCGGTCAGGGAGCTTGGACTGGGCCGTCTTGTCCAGTCCATGCTGAGTAAAAACTCCCTCTCCAAGGTTCCCAAGTGCTTAGAGACCAGCCTCTTGGAGGGCTCTCCAGGGAGGGGATGATGGCGGCCACCACCTCCACAAGGATGACTCTGATGGCAGCATCTGCCTCCATTGGGTTCCTCCACTGTTCCTGGCTCTGCCCCCAGCAGTCTGCTCCTTCCTCCATGGGCAGCCCTTGAGAGATGTGGGGATAGCTCCGCCCCGCCCTCTCCCATGCAGCACGGCCAGGAGGCCCTTCTCTAAACAGGCTGGGGCTCGCCCCTGCCCTTCCTAACCACTGTTGTGGCCCTTGGCACTTAGGAGAGCCGAGGCATGGGATCCTTCCCTCGAGGTGCAGCCTGGGAGTGGCTCAGGTCCCTGCAGAGTCTCCGACTCCTCTCGCACCTCAGCCTCACCTGCTTTCTGCACATCTTGGACAATCTGTTGGGCCAGGCTCCCATTGTAGAAGATGTCTGGCCCCTCCTGGGCCAGCTTCTCGTAGGTCGTGGCCAGCTGGGGCATCTTCACGATCTCACCCTGGTGTAGAATCCTCCCATCCCGACAGAACACTCCACTGGGGTTTGGGAGGTGGGAGCGAAGGAAGATCTCCATTAGCTCATGAGGGGGCCGGCAGCCACCCCGAATGTTGGTGCCAATGAGACCAACTGGCCCAAGCTAGAGACTGAAGGGAGGAGGCTTGGGGGGCACCCCCCAGCTTAGAGAGGGGGTGTCAGGGTGGATGGCCGGGCCGAGCTGGGGCTGGAGAGACCGGCCCCAGGGGTGGGAAGGCTTATCCCAAAACCTTTTGAGGAATCTCTAGTACCCCGGGAGCTGGACGGTAGGGACAGGCGCTCCATCATCACAGTGGCGAGCAGCATCTCCCACGAGCAACTGTTACAGCACCTTGACGGGGCAGTGGTAGGGCTTACCAGAGCTCTGGACTGCTCTCAATGGTCTTCTGCTGCTTGACCAGGACGGTCGCCAGGCCCTTGCCCACCGGGAAGCCCTCGCGGGCCAGCTGGATGCTAGGCTGGAACAGGTGGGACCAGGGCAGCTTTCCATGCCGTCGGTGGGCCAGCTCATAGCCACGGATCTCCCCGGGGACAGCCACAGACAGGCCTCCTGGATGACGAGGGGCAAAGCAGAGCAGCATTTGGAGAGCCATTAACATGATGCCTTCCCACCCACCAGGACAGCTGGACTAGGGGTACCAGAGCCACAGAGGCCTGGATCCAGTGCCAGGCTGCCCCTGCAAAGCTGGCCTCTACTCCAGGATACTCTTCTAGCTAGGTTTTTGGGACACCCTCAGCACTCTGTCCTGGTTCTCCTCCTCCCTCTGTCCAACTACGCTCAGTGGACCTCACCACCTCCCACGTATTGAATGACCTTCGCTACGCCCCACCTCTCCGCTAACCTCCAGCCTCACATCTGCAGCTGGATGTCCGTCCAGTGGACACGTCACACCCAACACGTTCAAAGCCAAACTCATTCTCTTTGCCGCCAAGCCCTTCCATCTTCCAAGCTTCCCTATGACTGCCAAGGGTACCACCATCCCACCCTCCTGGTCAAACCAAGTCAACACACATTTATTAGGCACCTACTATATGCCAGGCACTGTGCCAAGGCAAAAGACAATTGGGGGCTCACAGTCCAATGTTGGGGAGGGGCAAACACGCAAACTCCAGACAAATCAGCTAGTGACGGGATGAACTGGGGGCAGCCTCCAAAGGAAGGCCCAAATATTGAGGAGGCCTGGGAAGGTGCGATTTAAAGAGGGGAAGCTTGGAGGTGGAGATGAGGGGAGAGACAGAGCATTCCAGGCAGAGGGCACAGCCCGGAAAATCGCCTGGAGGCAGGAGATGACTGGAGAGTCTTGTGTGAGGATCAGCCAGGAGGCCAGAGCCTCTGGACCAGAGGGGATAAAGTAAAGAAGACTGGAAAGAGGTGGGTGGCTGGGAGGGGCTCAGGCTTCAAGGCCAAGCAAAGGACTTTATAGTTCATGATGCCCCTGACTCTCACTATGCCCTCTCCCCCAGCTCCAAGCTGTGATCAATTATTTAGATGTTAATCTTGTTAACTAGGCCCCCTCCTCACCTCTGCCCCTGCCCCCACCCTGGTGCAGACCCCCAAGCAGCTGCTGGGGGTGGGGTCTGCCTGCCTCGGGTCCTCGGTCTTGCTCCTCCAGTCTACCCTCTATTCAGCCGCCAAAGGGATTTTCCTAAAGCCCAGGTCAGATCATGTCACCCCCTACTCAGAACCTCCTGGGGCTCCCTATGGCGTCCAAGGTCAAATACAGAACCCTCTGCTTGGCGTTCAAAGCCCTCTGTAATTCAGCCCCTTCCTACCTTTTCAGCTGTTATTCCATGATTCCATTAGTGAGACTGACCCTGTGACTGTTCCTGACATTCGATGCTTATGTCCCATCTCCACACCTCTGCTAGGGCTGTGCCCCATGCCTCTCCTCTGCCTCATGAAATCACTGGTTTCTTTCAAGATTACACCAATGCCACTCTCTCCATGTGGCCTCTCCTTAGGCCCTTTCTGCTCATGCCCTCTCTCCACAAGTGAGGGTCCCCTCCACCCAGTTGTGGAGGCCCAGGAGGGCAGGTGGCATAGTAGATAGAACACTGGACCCAGAGTTAAGAAGACCCGAGTTCAAATTCAGCTTCAAACTCTTACCAGCTGTGTGATATTGGGTAAATTATTTAATCTGTCTGCCTCAGTTTCTTCATCTGTAACATGGGGATAATTAGCACCTGCTTCTCCTCAAATGAGATATTTGTAAAGTGTTTTGCAAACCTTCAAGCTCTACTGAAATGCACACTATTCTTATTACCCTAATGATGTGTCTATGCCCTGACCTTGCCCTCGTGAGCATTAGCAGCCTCATTCCTAAGGGGTCATCACAGAGGCGCCTCGCCCCCATTGTAGCACCCCTTCTTGGCTATCCCTCCACAGAGGCTGCCATTCTCAGGTTCTGAAGGTGAGCCGGGGGGGGGGGAAGGGGGGGGCTCTACTCCTATGACTATTGTTCATGAGCCCCCACCAGCATGATTCCCACTAACAATCAGCTAGTAGATACAATTAGCTTGTAGCAAAAGCATTTACTAAGATGGCAGAGGAAAAACAGTAGCTACCAAACATTTTCCTCCTTAATCTGAGGGTGCATTCTCCCACAAAATACATATGTGCCCATGGGAAGGATGAACTTGGACTAAAAGCACAGTAACAGTGAGTCATTTGTGTAGGATACATGTGCGGCAAAGATTCTATAGGACCTGGAAACCTTTTTCTCTTTGTACAGTCTTCATGCTAGGCTCCTAGGTCCTGTTCAGCTCTCTTCTCTGCTGCCAAGGTCCTATTCCATAAAGCTACTTTGTCCCTCAAGTAACCGTCTCTCTGTATCCTCTCTGTATCTCTGTCTAGAGCAGGGGGTCTTAACCTGGGTTCTGTGAATTTTTTAAAAATTTTTTTATTACATTTGGTTTCCTTTATAACTCTATGTATTTTATTTTCTACATTTAAAAACATGATTCTGTGAGGGGGTTCATAGGTTTCACCAGAATGACTCCCCAAGGGGTCCATGACACATGAGTGTGCGTCCCTGCTCCCCACTGGATATAGCAGCTCCCTTTCAAATCCTGGCTGCTATGGGGGGGCAGGGTGGGGAGAAATGCCCTCTTCTTTCCCCCTCCCACCTCCTGCAGGGCTTTCTTTCACAGGATGCCCCCATTCCCACTTGATCTCGAAAATTCATCCAGGGCCTAACTATTCACAGCTCTCTGAGGCTCAGTCCCACTGGTCTCTGTCTTTACTGAACCTCATCTAAGGCCATGCCGCCGGACACCGTAGAGTGACATCCCGGGGCTGCTGTGGCTATGTCGCCTAAATGGGGTAGCGGAGCATGGAGGAATCCCTTCCTGACCCTTACATGTGGACAGAGCTGCTCGATGTATACAGCAGGCGCTCAATACATGCTTGTTGATTTGAACTGAGCTGGATATAACTGGTCGACATGGTTGGCACTTCTGGTGAATCACTTTCTTTGGTCTTTTTCCTTCTGTTTCCTTCTCTGTACAAGGAATGGCCTCTGCTAGAGAGCAGGAAGGAGGCACACAGCCCCAAAAGAAGAGGATGGAAAACCAAAGGTGTCCATACAGAAGGATTCAAGAGCTTAAAAGTCTTCGTTGTATGTGTGTGCATTTGTGTGAGCATGTGTGTGCACTGTGGTGTGCAGTGTTCATGTGAGTGTGCACATGTATGCACATATGTGTGGTATGCAGTGTGTTCCTGTGAGTGTGCACATGCATGCTTATTCATGTGTACACACGGTACGCATGCGTTCGTGTGAGTGTGCACGCATGTGTGCTTTTGTGTGTGCGCACATGTGTGCACACACACATGGCATGCAGTGTGTACATGTGTGTGCTTTTGTATTTTGTGTGAACGTGTGGGGTGTACTGTGTGTGCATGTGTGCTGTGTGTGCATTTGTGTGTCTGTGTGTATGTGTAGTATGTACTGTATTCCTGTGAGTGTGCACACATGGGTGCATTTGTGTGTCTGTGTTCATGTAGGCATGGCGTTCATGTGAATGCGCACATGTGTACATTTATGTGAATGTGTGTATGTGGTGTGCAGTATATTCATGTGAGTATGCACATTGTGTGTACACATCTGCATGCATGTACATGTGGTGTGCTATGTTTCCGTGTGAGTATGCACACATGTGTACATTTATGTGAGTGTGTGTATGTGGTGTGCAGTGCATTCATGTGAGTGTGCACACTGTGTATATGCATCTGCGTGCATGTACATGTGGTGTGCTATGTGTTCATATGAGTATGCACACATGTGTGCATATAAATAGGGCATGCAATGTGTACGTGTGTATATGTGTGCACATGTGTGGTGTGCAGTGTGTTCACGTAAGTGTGCACATGAGTATGCATTTATGTGTGTACATATGGTGTGTAGTGTATTCATATGAGTGCACACATGTGTGCATTTATGTGAGTGTGTACATGTGATGTGCAGTGTATTCATGTGAGTGCACACATGTGTGCATTTATGTGAGTGTGTAAGTGTGGTAGGTAGTGTGCTCATGTGAGTGTGCACATGCATGTGCATTTGAGTATGTGTGTATACGTGTGCATATAAACAGGGTATGCAGTGTGTACATGTATATGCTCTTGTATATGTGCACACATGTGTGATGTGCAGTGTGTTGATGTGAGTGTGCACACTGCATTTGTGTGAGCATGTGTGGTGTACACGCATTTGTGTATGTGTGTGTGTACATATGGTGTGCAGTGTGTTCATGTAAGTGTGCATATGTGTGTATAGTTATGTAAGTGTGTGTACTGTGGTGTGCAGTGTGTTCATGTGAGTGTGCACATATTGAGTGTGGTGTGCGGTGTGTTCGTGTGAGTGTGCACATGTGTGTGCATTTGTGTGAGTGTGTATATATGTACATGTGTGCATACAAACAGGCTATGCAGTGTGTACATGTGTGTGCTTTTATATATGTGTGCACATGTGTGGTGTGCAGTGTGTGTGCACACACATGTCTATGTGTGTACTACCTCATGCTGGGAGCACATGTGTGGTGTGCAGTGTGTGTGTGTGTGTGTGTGTGTGCACATGTCTATGTGTGTACTACCTCGTGCTGGGAGCACAGGTGTCAGTACCTAGGCTTCTCCGTGCTCTAAGCTCGACGGTCCCTCATGACTCAGGTCCCCTCTGCTGCCCGTGAGTTCTCCCTCCTCCTAGGACCCCGGGCACACTCAGACAGTCTGTCTGTGCTGCCTCACTCACCTCTCTGAGACTGCTCGGAGGTATTGAACATTTTGGCAAATGAGAGTCTCGGGGCCACCTCTCTGGCGTTGATGATTTCGGCTTTTCCTGGAAAGACAGGGCAGAGGGATTCAGCCCTCAGGGAAGCCCTTTGCTCGCAAGGGGCACCGTCTGACCCTGGGCCCCTCTCGTTCCCACCCTGTGCCTCAGTTTCCTCATTTGTTAAGCAATGAGCCAGGTCTTCATCTGGAGATGCCCAGTGGTCTCCCAGGCCCGCCCCCTTCCGACTCACCAGTGCTGCCGTTGTAAACGGTGAGGAAGAGGCCCCCGCCAATCCCCATACTGTGAGCGTTCATTAGCCCCATGCAGAGGAGTGCCGCGATGGCCGCATCCACCGCCGAGCCGCCGTCCTGCAGCACGTCCCTGCACAGCCCCCAGAGGACCGGGTCAGAACCTGAACTAGCCCGCCAGGCTCCCCTTCCTCACCAACAAGCAGCGGCCCCCCAGGGAGCAGCGCCAAAGTCAGCGCACAAACACGGCCAAGGACCCTGCAAGCCTGGGAATGAGGACCACATGACGATGCTCAAAGACAGGAGTGGGGAGGCATCCTCTGGGGGGCCGCACTTCCCGCCACCGCAGCCCTCGGCCAGACACTCGAGAGGCTCGAAGACCCTGCCCATGGGCACGAGCGTCAGCTGATGCAGCGAAGGCGGACCCCACATCATCTGGAAAGGTTCAACCTGACACAGAGAGGCCCGCTGGCAGCCCAGAATTCAAGATGGCACACAGGCTCTTTCTGCTCCCACGATGACAGAATGATGGCAGTGGGAGCGGAGGGAACGCGACCATCCCAACACAAACCTGACTTCAGCCCTCGACAAGCGACCTCTGGGCAATGAGCCAAGAGCCCCTGGCACTGCTGGCAGAGGCTCCCAGGGTTGGCTGTGTGGTCATCTCCACACCCTGTGCTCAGCATGGCATGAGAGGGCCCCTGCCATCTCAGAACGACAAGTAGAGTCATTGCTAGCCTCCAGAGCACTTTAAGGTTGGCAAAGCACAGACAACCTCACAACAACGGGGAAGATGGGGAGAGGCACGATTATTATCCCCATTTTACAGGTGAGGAAACTGAGGCAGACCGACGTGAAATGATTTGCCCAGAGTCACACAGCTAGTGCCTGCCTGAGACAGGATTCAAACTCGTGTCTTCCTGACTCAAGGACCAGTGCTCCATGCCCTGTGGTGACCCACTGCTTCCTAGGTGCAATGATAGCAGCATCACAGCAACTTGTTTAAACAAGGTGCCCAGAGATGGGAAAGGGACCAAAGTAAGGGCTGCTCCAACTCTTCCCATTTGGGGCGACTTTGGCTGAAGCAAGGCAGTCACCACAGCACGGGGGCCAGAAGAGGATGAAATGGCTTCCGCCCCGCAGCAGCAAGAGCCCAGTCACGAGCTCATCTGCCAGACGGTAGGAGGGCGTAACGAAGGGAATCAGGAGTGTGATGGATAAGTAATGATGAGTAATGGAGGAGTTCAGAAAAGTATAGGAAGATTGCTACAAACAGAGACAGAGCAGACAAGCAGTGACCACAATGCAGATGACAGCAGGTGGTTTCCAGAAGGTCCTGGACAACAGATCATGCTCCTTCCGCCACAGAAAAATGGGGGGGGGGGGCGCTGGAGCAGAATGTGGCCTACACGGAGGGAGCACTATGCTCAAAGCTGTGGCTTCTGCTCTTTGTCACGAGGCCGGGTCACCAGGGAGGAGCCCTCCCCATCTCACAGGACAGGAAAGGAGAGAACGTGCGGTGCTTTGGAAGACGCTTCAGACGGAAACGGAATCGGGGTCTGGCCCTGCTTGTGGGTGATCCCCGGTCCAGTTCCACACATACTGGTCATGCAGTAGCTGGGCACAGACCCAGGTGGGCAGCGAGAATGAGGGATGTCAGCGGGCAGCTCAGATCAGACCCCCAGCTCTGGGGTGGATCTCCAGCAGAAGATCAGGGGCAGGACAAGAGAGTCACTGGGCGAGAGCACCCGAACGAGCCGTAGCCTGCACCGTCAGAAGGAGTATGCACGTCAGAGAGCTCGCAGATCCCTCCAAACACCATCGAGGGAGACCCATCAGACAATGGCGCTGCCCTCTAGGAGGGCTTGCCTCCTCTCTTAGCCGACCTTGCACGGATCCCACGGGGGACCAGCCCCCAGACGCACAGCCATTTGGAAGGACTCAGCCTCACTCACCACTGGAAACACCACCCAGAGCAGGGATGCTTCCCACCCAGCCAAGGCCAGGCAGTCGGAGGGGCGGTCCCTGGGCTTAGCCTTCTGGCCCGACTTCTCAGACTGCATGGCTTAGGAGGGCAGCACTGGACCCGGAAGAGCCGGGCAGGTCGCTCCCCCTCTTGGAGCCTCAGTTTCCTCATCTGTAAAGCGAGGCGGCTAGACCAGGCTCCTCGTCTCCCTGGCCACTGCAGCTCTCAGAGCCCACTGTCCACAGCCCCGAAGGGCAGTCACAAATGTCAGGAGGGAGGGCCTTCGCAGGACCGCCTGGAATGCCATGCTCTCCAAAGCATCCCGAGGGCCCAGAACGCTCTGAGTCTGGCACATACATGACGTGTGGGCTCCAGACTCCTCCACCTTCCTTCTGTGAGGGTTAGAGGCCCCAGAGGAAGGAGCCAAACACTCTGTGTGGACTCCGTGGCAAAGTCCTGGGCAAGTGTGGATGAGTGACCTGTGCATGAGGGGCCACAATCAGACTCAGCAGAAGGACTGGCCACACAGGGGAGATCCCAGACCCAAGGTAACGCTCCCGGGAATGCAGAGGGAACGGCTGCTTCCTTCCCAAGGGACATCACAGCAGCAATCTGGCTTCTAGCTGAGGCCACTAAACATGGGCATGTGAACTCTCTGAGCCCAAAGCCGTTCTCACTTGTGTGCCAGGTGCCTAACATGTTTGGCACACAGTTAGTGCTTAATAAACGCTTGCTGGTCCAGTGACTGATTTGGACCAAGATGGTAAATGATCCCAAAGTGGTGAATCCCAAAGCTCAGAGAGACACAGGCAGACAGAGAGGGACAGAGGGACACAGAGAGAAAGGGGGGGGCAGAGAGACAGACAGAGGGACGGGAGAGAAGGCTAGAGAGGGGGAACAGAGAGAGAGGGACAGAGGGACAAATAGAGAAGGGGAGACAGAGAAACAGAGGGAGAGAGAAGGGTGACAGAGAGCAGGACAGAGGGACAGACAGAGGGACAGAGAGAGAGGGACAGGGAGGCAGAGAGAAGGGGGGCAGAGAGATGGACAGAGGGGTGGGAGAGAGGGATAGAGAGCAGGACAGAGGGACGCAGAGAGAAGGGGGGACAGAGGGACAGCCAGAGGGAGAGAGAAGGGTGACAGAGAGAAAGACAGACAGAGGGATGGAAGAGAGGGCCAGAGAGGGGGGATGGAAAGAGAGGGACAGAGGGATGCAGAGAGAAGGGGGGCAGAGGGACAGATAGAGGGGTGGGAGAAAGGGATACAGAGGGGGGACAGAGAGAAGGATAGAGAGGGACAGAGGGATGGGGGAGAGGGTTAGACAAGGGGGAAAGGGAGAGGGACAGAGGGACGCAGAGAGAAAGGGGGGCAGAGAGGGACAGAGGGATGGGAGGGAGGGCTAGAGAGGGGGGACAGACAGAGGGACAAAGGGACAGACAGAGGGATAGAGAAAAGGGCAGGTGGAGAGAGTAGAGAGACAGATTGGGGGAGGTGGTGTTAGACACAGATGGGGAGGGGGTCTCAGACAGCGACAGACGGGCAGTCCTTTGTCCAGCCTCAACCCCAGGCAACAGGAAGAAATGGGAGCCCTGGGCCCCTCAGCCTGCCCAGCTGTAGAGACCAGATCCCAGCCCAGCACCATCCCCCCTTGCCCCAGGTTCCTGACCGCCTCGGGAGATCCTGGCGCCCAGCTTCGAGGGCCTAACCAAGACAGGCTGGCCACAAGGAGGTCATCTGGTCTGCCAGTCTTTGGTCAGCTTTACAACAGGAGCTCCGACCCCAGGGTATAATCATTGAGAAAACCCATTCCACAGAGGAGAAAACTGAGGCAGCCCAGAGAGCAGAAAGGATTTGTCTAGAGGCTCCAGTGAGTTTGCTAGGGCAGACAGCATGAGGCTGGTGGGGAAGCCCTGGGCTGCAGATCGGCGATCCCTTGCCAGGCTTTGCGCTGATGCTGGGTGCCATGGTGGGGCGCTGGCAGGGGAAGGTGGAGGGGCTGGGGCTCAGCCTGGAGAGGGGCTGGATGTGGGCAGGGCAACTTGGGGGTGGGGGGGGGGCCTCAGGCTCACGCTCACCTCCCGATCTCAGAGCACGTCCCGGCATCGGCAGCCACAGCAGCTGTCCTGTAGACGTGGGACTGCGCTTGGCTGTCCCGCGGGCTCAGGGTGAGCCCCAGGATCAGGGCCACAATGACGGCAGCGACCAGGATGGTCAGTACTACCACAAGCTTCTTCTTCATTGTCCTGGGGGGAGACAGAGGGAAGCCGAGGCTGGGAGGAGCTAATTATCTAGTTTGGCTAGAACGTGGTGTTCAGTATGCTCTCAAAGATGATATATTAGCTGGGCCAGCAGAGGGGGGAGCCTGGCGCTGCCGGGGTCAGGGTGGGGCCCTGGGGCTGGAGGCAGCAGTTGGGGGTGTGGCACAGGACATGGGGCCCCCGGCCAGCCCTCCAGGACTTCTGGGGGTATTTACCGGCTCTGTCGGCGGCCTTAAGCCTGGCTGGAGCTCTTAGTGTGGAGGGTTCAGAGAATTCAGCCCAAGCTGTGGCTGAGGCCTGGAAGCTCCCCGACACCTTTCTGCCCTGACAGCTCTGGGGACCCCCTGCTTTGTCCCCTGAGAGCAGAATCCCGGGCTTTCTGAGGTGCCTGGTCCTGCAAAGACAGAGAGACAGTGTTGGGTGGATGGAGCCCCCAGGCCTGCATTGGGATGGGGGGGTGGGTGCGAGATGTCCAGGCCTAGAAAGGGAATGAGGACCTGTCTGCACCCAGCTCCCATGGAGGACGGTCATCCTACCTCCTCCAAGGATACAGAGCCATCCTCTCCCAGCTCCCAGAGAGCAGACAGACCTGGGCCCTGGTCCCCGGGTCCCCAAAGCTTGCTGCCCCAGCACCCTGTACCCCCCTCCCCATATGTCCTGCCACCCCCCACTCATGGCCTTCTCTGTTTGCCAGCAGAACCAAGGAAAGGACGAGGCTGAAGGCCCTGAGGATCCGTGACAGTGCCCTGGGCAGCTAGGCTGGGGGAGCTCCGGCCCATGAGGTGAGGGTGGGCCCCGCCTAGCAGAAAAGATCACATGTTGGGGCACAGGGGACAGGGAAGGGACATGAGAGGACCCCATGTGATGGCAGCGATGGGGTTCCCACTGGGAGGCTGGACGTGAGGTGAGAAACGTCCCGAGTTGTGGGAGCCGACCCAGAACCACAGTGGGACCACCGGAGGGCCCCCATCCTCCCTCCAGCCTCCAGCACCCTTTGGCACCCAGAATGCCTGGCAGCCTGCCCCACTGGCTCAGTCATTGCCGGGCTCCTGCAGCTGGCCGTGAGCGGACACCACGCCTGGCAGCCCTGCCCCCCACTTTAGGTGTGGGCTTTCTATGGCAAAGAGATCACGCAAGTTCAGTAATCCCTGCCTGGGGCAGCACTGACCCTCAGACTACCCCACCCCAGGCCAGACAGTGCCCAGACTGACCAGAGCAGGGCCGCCCAGCGACCACTCCAGAGGGCACAGACCTCAAGCAAGTTCAGAGAGGCAAGCAGGGGAAGGCCAAGGTCGGCTGGACCAGGCCAAGAGTGAGCTGGGGCTTGAAGGGGGCCTGCCTGCAAGGACCTGCGGGGCTCCCTAGTGGCCACAGGGAAAAGAGCAACTCTCCTCTGCTGGGCATTTGAAGCCCCTTCCTAGCCCCCCTCACTTCACGGTCCAGCCACGCTGACCTTGCTGTTCTGCATACCCAAATCTCCATCTCCAGCCTCCGAACCTTTGTCCAGGCTGTGCCCCCTTCACCTCCCAGAACCCCTCACTGGCTTCCCAGCTCAGCTCTTGCCTGAGGCCTCTGATGCCTTCCCCTGCCCCCAGTTACATCCCCTCTACATCTCTATCTCCTTCTTCCCTTTCTGTTCACAAGTTGTCTGCTGCCAACACCGTGTCTGCCTGGAGGGCTGGGGCTACACCCTTAACCCTGGAGGTCTTGAGGCCCAACAAAGATCTGTCCTATTGGCCTCTGGGGATAAGGGGGTGGGGAGGTAGCCAATCCTGCCTGCTCCCGCCCAGGCCCACGGAAAGTCTACCTGGACGCCCAGCGGCCAGGAATGTGGGGTCCTTGCCACAAGTCTCTACTTCTGTCTTGGGCACAGAATGAGAAAGAGCAACTCGACCCCAAGGGGGGGCGCCTTGGACGGCTCCCTTCCCCCAGTCAGGGGCGTGGCTGGCTCGGTGTGGCATGGGCAGCTACAGCAGCCCACAGTAGGAAAGATAAGGCTGGGCAACAGTGTCTGGAGATGACCAGAATGGGGAAGGGCCAAGAGGCGATGGTGCAGGACAGGCTGAAGGAATTGGAGGCGTTTACCCTGGAGAAGAGAGGGCTGGGGGGCTGTCCTGTGGAGGAGGGAGCCCCGAGGCAGGACCAGGAGCAGCAAAGGCGGGGAAGGTGCCTCCAGAGGTGGTGAGCTCCCTGTTTTTGGAGGGATCCAAGGAGAGGGGAGCTGCCTCCAGGGCCACCTTCAGCCAGAAGCTGTGAGGGAGCCCTTGGGGTGGGCCTCCAGGCTAGGAGCCTCCCGTCTTGAGTCCCAGCCCCACACTAACTCCCTGGAGGCCCATGGGCATGAGCCTCAGCTTCTTCATTTGCCCCCTTCTCAGTGGGCTCCAGTGGCACCCCATTATCTCTTCAGATCCAATCAAAAATGGCTCTGGTGGGCCTTTGAAGCCCTTCTTCAGTTGGGTCACTCCAACCTTCCCAGCCTCTCACGTCAGGCTTGCCAGAGTCCAATTCATCTGGACTTTTGGCCGCTCCCGTTGCCAGGCCTTTGCACTGACTGGTCCCCGTGCCCACAGTGCCCTCCCTCTGCAGCTCCCCCTCTTAGAATCCCGAGCTCCCTTCGAGGCTCAGCTCAGGCCCATCCAGGCATGACTTCTCTAATTCTCCCCCCAAAAAACGCTGCCCTCTATTTCGTATGTTGCTGTATATGTATAGGCGTGTGCACATACACATACATCATACACGCAGAGCACAAGCTCACTGACGGCAGGGCCCATGGTCATTTTGTCTGTAACCTCATGGCTTGCAGATTATCTGGCACATAGTAGGTGTCTGAGAGCTGCTGGGGGAGCACGGATTGACTCAGCCCTTTTGCTCTAAACTCAAGGACTCCACAAAGCCTCTGCATGCCATCCCCGGTCAGTCAGACCCTGTCCCCAGGGCAGATGCTGCCCCTCCCTTTCTTTTCATGTTTCATGGGTGAGCGTCAGAGACCCCCATACACCCAGTTCCGGCCTGGCTTAGGCTCTGGGAGTCAGTTGCGGCTTCCTGCTCAGGGCCACAGCCAGACACTGGGAGGATAGGTCTGGCTCCCCCATCCCCCACTCCAGATCACCCGCCAGATGTTGCCAGGAGTACAGCTGGGACTCCCTGCAGATACACATCCTCCACCACTCCAAAAAGATCTGACGGGAGAGGGGGAGAGGAGAGGGGCTCAGGGAGTGAGCAGGGCACTTCCTTTTCCCATCCAAAGGTTTAGAGAAGGCTCTCAGGCTGAGTCCTCAGAGATTAGCGTGGAGGCCCAGAAAAGGTCAGTGACTGGCCCAGGGTCCTACAGCAAGGTCTCTCGCCTCCCAGCCCAGCTGAAACAACAGTGGCACTTACCCAGGCCTTGGGAAGTAGGTGAGTGCGGGGCCTCCCAGGGGGCCCCCTTTCCTCAGGGAGAGACCCTGGTCTGTTGCAGTCTCTGGAGAGGGAGGCGTGGGAGTGGATGTCAGTGTGGGGCCTGCTCAGAGCATCACTGGGGAAGGGGAGAGGAGCCGGGCCTGGCCCCGCAGAGCAGGAAGCTGGTAGCTTTAGGGAAGACTGAACCTTGCCGTCCCAGAGCCCAGCCCATAGTGGAGGGGAGGGACCCCAGGAGCTGGGAAGGGCTCCACAGGATATGGCCCAGTAGAGACTCGGCTAAGCCTCCTGGGGCCTGAACGCCCAGCCCAGCAGCATCCCCCAGGGGTCTCCCCTCGGCTCGGCCTCCAAACTGGCCCCAGGGGAGGAGTCAAAGGGAGAGGGGGCCGTTCTCAGTCCACAGAGGAGGTGAACACACTGCTGGCTTCTGAGACACCCCCACATACACATTCACACACATGCTCTCCCATCACTGTGTCGGAAACGCCCTCACCAGACTCAGAGGCGCTCAGAGACACCTAACCTCAGAGCAGAGCCCCGGACACCTTCTCTGGGAAAGGAAGCTAAGCCCCTGCCTAGCCCACACTCGGGGCCTCCGAGATTGCCCTGGCTGTATCCCTCCCTAGGGTCAGGGGGACACAGACAGACCCATGGGACATTCTGGCCTGTTGTCCCTCGAATCTCCCTCGGGGTTAGACCACATGAACATCCCACCAATATAAGGCCCCTCCTCAAAATGAAAGATCACCTCTAAAAACAAAACCAGAGAAATGCGGATGGAGGCTATCTTTCCCAACTTTAGCTGGGGATTGTAAGCAAATGAGAGAGAGGAAGGGAGGGAGGGAGAGAGAGAGAGAGAGAGAGAGAGAGAGAGAGAGAGAGAGAGAGAGAGAGAGAGAGAGAGGGAGAGAGAGAGAGAGAGAGAGAGAGAGAGAGAGAGAGAGAGAGAGACATGGGAAGAGAGGAAGAGAGACACAGGGAGAAAGACATATGGAGGGAGAGGGGGGAAGAGGGAGGAAGGGAGAGAGAGACACGGAGGGGGAGGGGAGAGAAAGAAAGAGAGAGAGAGGAACGGAAGAAGAGAGAGAGAGACATAGGAAGAGAGGAAGAGAGACACGGAGGGAGACAGAGATATGGAGGGAGACGGGGGGAAGAGGGAGGGAGAGACAGAGACAGAGAGAGAAAGACAGAGAGACAGAGAAAGGGAGATAGACAGAGGGAGGGAGGGAGAGGGAGAGAGAGAGAAGCACGGAGGAAGAGAGACACATAGAAGGAGAGAGAGAGACATGGAAGGAGGGAGAGACAGAGACAGAGACAGACAGACAGACGTGGAGGGAAGGGGGGGTAGAGGGGGGCGGGGTAACAACTCTGAGACTGGAGTCACGAAGCCACGAGTTCAAATCCAGCCTCAGACCCTTTGTAGCTGGGTGACCCTGGGCAAGTCACTTGATCCTGTTTGCCTCACTTTCCTCATCTGTAAAACATTCTGGGGAAGGAAACTGCAAACCCTTCCAGTATCCAACAGAGACACACCCAGAGTCACCCAGCAAGTAAGTGTCTGAGGCCGGATTTGAATGCAGGTCTTACTGACTCCTGGCCTGGAGCGCTCGCATCCAAGCCCCTCTTGATCTCTTGGGGATCACAGAAGACACCGTTTTGGCGATGTGAACATAGAAAGCTTTTGTCCAGATAAAATCAGTGCAGTTGAGAAAGGGGGAACTGTGATCTGGGGACAAATCTTTCCATTAGCCCTCTCCGACAAAGAACATCGCGGGTGTCCAGATAGGGGAGAATGAAGGGCAGACATCCCGGCCCCCAAGAGCGCGTGGGTCAGAGGAGAGAAGCAAACAATTCTCTGCAGGCGACCTGACGCTAATCCGGGCGGGCCGCCTGGCAAAGAAGCGAGCCTCGGCCGATGATGGAGGGGCACACCGACAAGCCTCCCCCCCCCCCCCCCCCCCCCCCCCCCCCCCCCCCCCCCCCCCC